TGTCGGACACGAGCATGCTCACCAAAACCAGTAGCTCCAGTTTGATCCTCAACAGAAAAACAGGGCACGGCTGATATTGATCCAAATAGGCAACAGGGAAGCTGGTACGCCTCACTTGCTAGATCAGTCGCTCCGACCCGGCTCCCACCGCCACGCGTCCAGGCCGGCAAGTCCACCCCAGGCGCTCCGTCCAAACACGAGGGACAATCCGAGGGCCGAGGGACTCCATCCACATCCGCTTAGACTGCCGATACCTATCGGCTGCATCCTGATTCCCACAGGCCAAAAAGACCCGATAGGACTCCTCCTTCAGACTAACAGCATTCCTCACCCCTGGTGTCCACCAGTGGGTTCGAGGTTGCTGCCACAACAGGCACCAACAACATTACGGCCACAGCTCAGGAAAGCCGCCTCGACAATGGAAGCATGGAACATGGCCTGCTCAGACTCAGTGTCACCCACCTCCCCCGGAACGTGTTCAAAGTTCCCCCAGAGGTGTGAGTTGAAGCTCCGTCTGATGGGAGACTCTGTCAGACGTTCCCAGCAGACCCTCACTATACGTTTGGGTCTACCAGGTCTGACCAGCATCCTCCCCCACCAATGGAGCCAACTCACCACCAGGTAGTGGTCAGTTGACGGCTCCGTCCCTCTCTTCACCCGAGTATCCAAAACATGCGGCCGCAGATCAGATGAAACGACAACAAAGTCGATCATCGAACTGCGGCCTAGGGTGTCCTGGTGCCAAGAGCACGTATGGACACCCTTATGTTTGAACATGATGGTTGTTATGGACAATCCATGATGAGCACATAAGTCCAATAGCAAAACACTGCTTGGATTCAGATCGGGGGTGCCGTTCCTCCCAACCACGCCTCTCCAGATCTCACTGTCATTACCCACATGAGCGTTGACGTCCCCCAGCAGAACGAGGGTGTCCCCGTTAGGAGCGCTCTCCAGCACCCCCTCCAAGGACTCCAAAAAGGGTGGTAATCTGAACTCCTGTTAGGCTCATAGGCACAAACAACAGTCAGCACCCGTCCCCCCACCCGTAGGGCAGAGGGAGGCTACCCTCTCATTCACCGGGGTGAACCCCAATGTACAGGCACCGAGATGGGAAGCAATAAGTATGTCCACTCCTGCTCGGTGCCTCTCAGCATGGGCAACTCCAGAGTGGAAGAGTGTCCAACCCCTCTGGAGGAGACTGGTTCCAGAGCCAGAGCGGTGCGTCGAGGTGAGTCCAACTATATCTAGTGGGAACCTCTCAACCTCACACACCAGCTCAGGCTCCTTCCCCACCAGAGAGGTGACATTCCACGTCCCTAGAGCAGCTTCTATAGCCGAGGATAAGACCGCCAAGGTCCCCGCCCTCGACCACTGCCCAACAGACATTGCACCTGACTCCTACGGCCCCTCCCACAGGTGGTGAGCCTATGGGAAGGGGGATCCACGTCTCCTCTTTGGGCTGAGCCCGGCCGGGCTCCATGGGTGAAAGCCCGGCTACCAGGCGCTCGCCAACGTGCCCCACCTCCAGGCCTGGCTCCAGAGTGGGACCCCGGTGACCCGCGTCAGGGCGAGGGAACACTCAGTCCATTTATTGTGTTCATCATAGGGGTCTTTGGGCTGCACTTTGTCTGATCCCTCACCTAGGAACTGTTTGCCTTCGGTGACCTTACTGGGGGCATGAAGCCCCCGACAACATAGCTCCTAGGATTATTGGGACACTCAAACCTCTCCACCACGATAAGGTGGGAACCCAGGGAGAGGATGTTGCTTCTATAAAAATCTAAATGTCCTTATTTTAAAAAAAGGCATGCTGTATTTAAAACAGTTGATTTACAGTGTTCTACTTTGAGTACAATCTGTAATTATGACCATTTGCAAATCATTGCATTCTGCTTTTATTTACATTTTGCATAATCAACTTTGGAACTGGAGTTGTGCATGTACAAATAGTTTTTAAACACAGTGTACTCTCTTTTCTCCGTATCCACAGTCTTTGTTATTAAAATGCCCCAGATTTAGGCATTGTTCCACGCATCATTACCCAGTGACACGGCTCACACKGTCTCTGTAAATCACTGCTCTGGTTTGTGTTGCATCTCTGCTCTCACTCCCAGCCTTGCCTCATGTTGATGGGAAACACGCCTGCTTCTAATCCGCTCGGTGACAACATTTAGTTTAAATTTGTTTCCCAACATTTGGCCCAGTTTCAGGACTGGTTTGGCCAAACAGTGTTTTGTACAGGAAAATGAGCCCTCTACCTGCATTCTTCTGCAGAACGCCCCCTGCCCCCAAGTCCCAGAAAAACATATCTGTGTTCTGGGGGTGGGGAAGAACACCCCCTACAATGTGTTATAATAAGAGCTCCACTGTAAAGGAAAAACATGTTGTACATGAATGTAAATTTATTGTAATGTTTATGGAAGAGGTCTGTTTTGCAATCTGAGCTCATCTGGCTTTACTCAATCTTCATCATTTCACTACAAAAACAGTCTCTTCCTTCATTCATGCCAGTTCTGAGAACATTTATTGTGGTGTTGCAGGTGCCCATGGTCCAAACCAGCACTGTGGCAACCATCCAGGTGATGCTTAAAGGCAAAGACACCTCCATGAGGAATAGCACTAAAGTGCTCATCGTGCCGTCAGATTTCGTCCACATCATCCAGACTGATAAACCCATCTACAAACCTGGACAGACCGGTAGGTGTCTCGTCTCGTCCTCACTGGGAGTATACATGTTGGAGCTTCGAGCAGACAGAAATGTAACGCTCGGCTCACATTATCATATCTGCACTGCTTACCAATTCAGCTGTACTTGCACAATTTTGTACTACTTTAGAGTATCTGCATAATGCTGAGCCATCACTTCAACTTTAGGAATTCTTTCTGAATTCACTCCACAGAAGAATTGTTTCCTCAACAGTTCCTGTCACACTCTTTGTCTGCACTATAAAAAGACCTTATGAATTAAATTAAATAAAAACGTGATAAGTTTTAACTTTACATACTTGTTGGTTAAAATGGTCAGAATCCCATAATCCCATGGTCTCTTGTCTGACTCACAATGGGCAACTAGGACAGGGTATCTGAGCAAAAATGGGCAGTTTAAAACCTTTATTTTTATGGGGACCATTCAGTGTAAGTCTGAAAATAAAGTTCTGTGATTAGTTGTAACATTAGACTTTATATTTTGCAGTTAAAATATGTTTATCAAATAGTCTGTAAAATACTGTAGGCCGTTTTTAGTTTTGTAAATTAAAAAATGTATTTTAACACGGACGGAGCCATTTTATTTACACACAAAGCATTCTGGGTAAATGATGACGTGGATAGGTCTTCGGTGTGAGCGAGCTATATCCACCCTGAAGGTTATTCTTGGACAATATCTGATGATCGACTAGGGCTGTGTATTGGCAAGAATTTGGTGATACGATACATATCATGACAGAGGGGTCACGATACGATATATCCCATTATATTGGGATACGTTGCGATATTTTTGTCCAAACATTCTATTAAAAACATCTTACTGGAACAAAAATGAAAAAACAAAATTCATTGTCTCAGAAAATTCTAATGTTACAGACATACTTTTGATACATTTAGCTGTGTTCTGTTTTGTATGTATTTTATTTTATGTTTCATATTTCTTATTTCATCCATGTTTTCAATTATTAGACTAAATTTGCCAATAAATAGTTTGAAAATATATTTTTTGCAGCTTTTAGTTTTTAATATTAATTTACAATATGGTCACCCAACACTTAACAATAGCCTCTACCTCAAGAGGTGGAAGATCCAAATGTCTGGCTCACTGCTGCCAACTAGTGGTCAG